CACCCCATTTTAGGAATGTGGCTTCCATTCCCCAGAATGCAGTGTGGTCCTGCCCAGCCGGCGGTGCATAGGCAGGCTCCTGTGATGTGGTGGCAGCGGGCACCGTTCCTGCACTCGCACATCTGGCCGCAGTATAGACCGTAAAAGCCGTCCGGGCAAACTGTGGGCCGAGATAAAACATCCAACTGTTCAGAACTGGCAGCTTCACAGAAGAGGAGGAAAAGAGTGAGACGCCAAACTGTTTTTATTCTTTCTTTTCTCTGGCCTTCTCCATCCGTTACTCTCCTCTCCTCTCCTTCCCTCGATACGTTCCCTCTGTCTCTCTTTCTCTCTCACCACCTACTGAAAACACCAATATCAAATGGCAGCCCCACGCTGTGGCTGTTCATTTGCAGAGCGTCTGTGTTCGTTAAGTGAGTTCATGTCCCACATGTGTGGTGGATCTGGGCCACATCAAAGTCCGTGGCGGCTCCTAGGCCGTTCCCGTTTGGAGGTAGATGGGGCAGCGAGGGCGGGTAATTAGAACACCTGCTGGGCCCCCACCAATACACTGCAAAACAAATCCAGGTTACTGTGCCCCGACACACACAGTCTGTGTGTGTGAGTGTGTGTGAGTGTGTGTGTGTGTGTACCGATGTTAGCAGAGCCTGGGTTACAGCCTGTTTCCCATTGATAAACCAAGACAAGCAGATTTCAGGTTTAAAATGTGTGTGTGTGTGTGTAATCAACTGACACTGAAGAATGTAAACACACACAGACACAGACACAGACACAGACAGAGGCTGATTTCCTGGGATGTGCTGTAACTGACTGTACGTGCACTGAAGTAAAACTGAAGATCATTGGATGAAATGTTATGAAATGTCCTTAAAATGTGCAGCAGAACAGTGGACACACACACACACACACACACGTCATATGAACAGTGGACACACACACGTCATACGTCCAGTCGGTCATTTGACCTTTTATTCTGTGATATTTGCCTGTAAAAACACTGATCAAACATCAAACTTGACTTGTTTTTCTACAGAAAAACAAACAACAGCCAGTGTTTCTGACTGTTTCTGTTTGTGACCAATCAACTGCTGGAATTATTAATACCAAGTATCAAAGGTCAGTTGTTACTTCACAGTCTTGGTCCAGGTGGTATTTAAAGCTCCAGCTGCACTGGTGAAACCAACGTTTTTTTACAGCAGCGTGTGTAAATAACATGTTGTGTATGGACTGTGCACTAGAGCAGATGTGTAAGTCATTCTGCCAATGCTTTAAAATGTATTGGATTGAATTTATTCCAATTTCTCTAAACTAAGCTAATCTAAGCTAAATGAACTCTTTTACATACAGGTGCCTTGTATGTGTATAAAAAGGTGCAACTTGGTGATTTTTACTCTCTGAATCCCAGCCTGATAAATCAAAGCTGTATTTTTTTCACTCCTACATCATCCCCAAGGACCTCCACCTCGTACCAGTCTCTCATGCTCCCCGATGCCATTTATTTTCTATTGCATTCCTTTGTTCTGTTGTACTGTAACAGCACATGTTATCAGACGTTATTATTATTATTATTATTATATTAATCTGCTAAAAGTATTGGCATCTAAAGACAGTGTTAAAGTTCACTCCACACTGATGATAGATCAGGTTAGATCTGGTTAGATCTGACTATCCTGTCTCATCTGACAGAGGACATTTCAATATTTGTTCTGGCCAGCAGGGGGCAATGGCTTTCCATAGGAACTGCAGAGGGATAATCTGTCAGCTGAAAAACTGTCTTCAAGTGTTCGTAAATGAAGACTCTTCCCTGTGAGGCTTTGTTTATAGGTAGGCATGGAGGAGTCACACACACACACACACACACACACACACTCCTGCTCTTGACTAAATGAGCTCTGTAAGATGGGGGATTATTTCCAGACCTCTGCTCTCAGGGACCACACAGTCAGAGAGAAGACGGACGGGAGGACGTGGACAAGAACGGCCTGATGGGAGTCAGAGTCTGCCGTCAGAAAGTTCAACACACACACACACACAGACAAACACAGACACACACACGGAGAACATATGAAGTCTAGACAGAAAGACAGAGGAAGATTAAACCAAAGAACTGCTGACCTTTTTATTAGAAGGTAAAATCTCTAACCACTCTTCCACTGTGTAGCCTAAAATACTGGACCAAAAGTCATTTACTGTTTAAATCCAGGATCCAGATTTAGACATGACTGACCGAGTCTATGACCACTGCATATAGACTGTTAACAAGTTAATCTTTCACAGCTTCAGCTCTGCTGGGCCACAGATTTGGCCCACGGGCCTTGTTTATGTGGACTACACAATGCCTTGATAAACCAAACCAAAATAAAACTATTATTATTCTCTGATAAATGCTCCTTTATTTATCAGATCTGGTGATTCTGCTCCTTGTCATGAGGAGCCACCGAGAAACTGAACACCTCAGAGAACACAAGTGTTTTAGAACCGTGGATGCATTGTCCAATCAGAGTGACGTTCACACTGTTATGACTGGAGAAGAAGTGCAGCTCCGAACTGACACGGCCGTGATTTACACTGGCTCCGGCCGCACACTCACAGTAAATCTTACACTTTATAATAACAGCAGCCACTCCGGAGTCACAGACTAGAATCAAGAGCAAATCTATTCTTCTGTTAAGACTCGGGGACTGCCGGCGTGTCCCGCACTTCAGGACAAATGCCGTAAAGATGCGATGAACGCCGGCTCCATGGAGGCTTAACCACGGCGGCGCTGTTGGCAAAGACTCGGAGCATCTATCCCATAATAAGTGACAGCATTTAGATCTTGAGAATTGTGGCATCACATTACATGGATGATTCGTACGATTCAGTGAATCGAGTGTAATGATTCATGGAAAGTTTGGAAAAAGACGTGCAGTAGGAAAAAATATCCTGGAGCGACCTCTAGTGTATAAAAAGACGAACACAGAAGATCCTGTATGACAGAGGATTTAAAAAAAAATAAAAATAAAATAAAAATAATAACCTTATCATTACTTTTTACTTACGTATTAGTACATACGGTTTACTTCACTCCCGTTCTTTTGAGCCTTTTTATTATTTATTATAATTAATTTTCTTGTTATTTAGAAAAGGTAAGATAACTAAATATAACTAACAACGAAATAGTTTCAGTGATGAGGAAAGAAACGTCGCATTTCTATTTTCTACAAACAGTTTAACATTAATCCAAAATGTAAAAAAATAAAGAAGACAAAAATCGTACCCTTTTCACAGGAAGTGCCAGTGTAGCCAGGTGCACATGTGCAGGCTCCGCTCACGTGGTCACAGTGGGCTCCATTTTGACAGCCACACTGTTGGATGCAGCCCTGCCCGTAGGTGCCATCCACACACTCTGCCCAGAAATAAAAGGAAGAAAAATATTTTAACAGCAGCCTGATGAAATTTAAAACAAGGATAGTAACACTGAACACCTCCAGGTGGCAGCATACTACTGTCATAACAGCGTTGTGAACTCACGCTTTTCACACTGGTCTCCCGTGAAGCCGCTCTCACACACACACTGACCGCTGATGGGGTCGCAGCCCAGAGAGTTGTCCCGGCACTGGCAGCTCCTGGTGCATCCTTGACCCCAGTGACCAGAGTCACACGCTGTTTCAGCCACAGGTGTGGTGTTAAACAGTGACTGGTTTGACTGGTGATCAGGTGAGTGTGGGTCATCAAGGATCTTACCTGCACCACAGTCGTGACCACTGGTGCCTGGAGGACAGCTGCAGTGACCGGTCTGAGGGTCACAGCTGCTGTTAGAGTCACACGAACACTGCAGTACACAGTCGGGTCCATGGAAGCCTGGTGGACACTCTGGACATGACGACCACCCAGAGGAAAAACAATGACACTGACATCAACACTGGTGACTACTACACTCATGCAGGTGTTGTTAGGGTGGATGAAGACGTGTCATGTGATAAATCACAGGGATGTGAACTACTGGATAGACAGTGCTGGTCATGCACTGAACAATGCTATAAACTCACTGTGTTGGCAGAGGTCTCCAGTGAAGCCTGTCTCACAGTCACAGCCTCCTGTCTGCTTGTTGCACAAACCTCCGTCCTGACAGGGAGGACAGGACGACTGGCACTTCAACCCCCAGAATCCTCCAGGGCAGTCTGAAGAGCAGCACTAATAGTTCACTCATTATTTCTTATCCACATTTTGAATAAAATAGTAAAGTGATAATGAATGGATGACCTTCCTGACAGGAGCGTCCCATCTTTCCAGATGGACAGATGCACTGTCCACTAACTGGGTCACAACTATTTCCCCCACAGTCACAGGCCAGAAGACAGTTTTGTCCGTAGCTTCCAGCTTCGCAGGCTAGCACCCGTGATAGAGAATGAAAAGCAGAGGGAGATGAGCCGACTGTTTCACATCGGGACCGAAGTGAAATCTTCATTATTTGGTGTGTGTTTTTCTTTAGTCGCTGCAGCATAATAATCCTGTCAAGACCTGACCTAACATCACTTTGGAATATTTTTGAACTGACAAACTCTGCACGTCTGGACTTGGCTGAAGTGTGGTTGTTTCTAATCCACCAAATGTTTCACCTCAGACTACGGTTCCGAGACGGTGAACTTTCCATCAACCAGCAGAGTAAACACACACTAACTCACTGACTATACAGAGTGCAACAACTGGAACACCTGCGTGAACAGGTGAGTTCACGAAAAAAAAAGAAGCCTTTTTTATCACGGCCGATAAATGCAGTCAATTCATCAAAGCTAGAAGAAGGTGAAGAGAAGGAGAGAACAAAGACACGACTTCACTGACGGACACAGCTGCCACTGTAAACTTAGCCACGTGACCACTAGATGGTGCTGTAAGTATTCAAGTTTAGGAAAGAGCTTCACAGTGAACACCGTGTGCATGGGTTCTTTTTTTTTGCCATTTTGAAAAAATATCAGTGGATTCCTATAATTTATGAATTGGATGAATTTGATTGGTTGTGAAAACAGCCAACTGTTGCAGTGGTTTTCAGTTGCATTAAAAGGTTGAACTGAGGAACTGGAGAATGAGAAGAGTTACAATTTCACAGACTGCTCGGCTGCAGCTACACTGAACCACGGTGTATGTTCTTCAACTTCTTTACAATAACACTAGGTGATGTTCATCTAACTACGTAGGATAGTCTCACCAAGCTGACATTGGTTTCCATACAGTCCAGCAGGACACTGAAGTCTGCACTCCCCAGTCCTGGGGTTGCACAAACCCCCTGTTGGACAGTCACATGACTCCTCACAGCCTGCTCCAAAAAAGCCTGGATCACACTCTGAATTTGAAACACAAGAAGAAGAAGACACAGATGATGAGCTGGTGGATCTGTTTCTTCAAACCTGGAGAGGTTTGGTCAAAGACTTGGTCCTTTTGTCTTTGTTACCTTTGTCACACTGGGGGCCGTGGTACGCTGCTTTACACAGGCAGCTTCCCGTTTTTGGGTCACAGCCAGAGGAATGTTCTTGAACACAGTTGCATTCCTGGGAACAGCCTGCACCGTGGGTCCACCTGGGACAGGCTGAGGGGCGGAAAGGATTGTTTTTAAAAACACGGAATGGAAGAAGAGAGAAGAAGTTGATGTAAATCATCAACACCGCGAACCACCATGTTATTACCGTGTAAGAACCGTGCTAGTTTAAGTCATGTGACTAATGACTCGGACTTCATTGGATCATTAAAACTTTGGGCAAAATCACTTTTGTTCCTTCTTAAGTAAAATAAAGAGTTTGAAGTACCGGACTATTCAGACGATTTGTCCAAATATTGATGTTGCCGACTCTGAGGCCAATGTTGTTGCTGCTCACATACAGAGGCACTGCGATAACAGACGCGTAAGCCTCTCAAAACACGACACTGCTACATCCACACACGGCGTTCAGAACAATCAGTCAGCGTGAAGGTGGTCAAGACAGTCCCTGCTCAGCAACTGAAACAAAGTCCACTCCACCCTGTCCCTCTGGACACTGGCTTTATGTTAGGTGCAGCTGCAGGCTGTGGTTACACCCTCTCCACCCTCTGCAGGATGGAGCAGACAGCTGTGAGAATCTGATAATATTCCTGCAGCACATTCCTTCCCCATTCACTGTGGATCTTGGAAGGCGAGCAACGTGGACACAGATACCAGAGGCAGATTGGCCGTCATGTCCATCCGGAGGTTTTGGAGCAACCCTAAAACTATAGGGGATGTGAACATGGTGACAGAGGAGCTGAAGAATCTTTATTACAAGAGGCTGCTGCCCATAGAGAAACACTACTGCTTCAATCACTTCCACAGCCCCAGCTACGAGGACGCAGACTTTGACAACAAACCTATGGTGCTGGTGATGGGTCAGTACTCGACCGGAAAGACGACTTTCATCAGGTCAGATTCTTAACAAATGTGCATCCGTGTTTGACATTGTGTTTGTAGATGGATGATGTGGATGATGTGGATGATGTGGATGACGGACTGACGGTGTCTTCAGGTATCTGATTGAACAAGACTTCCCTGGAGGCAGGGTTGGACCAGAGCCAACCACTGACTGTTTCACTGCCCTCATGTATGGAGACACAGAAGGTGTCATCCCCGGCAATGCCCTCACGGTGGACCCCAAAAAGCCCTTCCGCAACCTGGATCCCTTTGGAAACTCCTTCTTGAACAGGTGATTCAAAAACAGAAGGAGAATGGAGAGCTTTTCTTCTTTTTAACCATGTTCCAAACATTCTTTTCTGTCCAGGTTTCAGTGTGTTCAGTTGCCCAATCCTGTGCTTGAAAGTATCAGCATCATTGACACACCGGGAATCCTGACTGCAGCTAAAAGAAAACTGAGCCGAGGTGAGACAGGAAATGTTTAATATTTCCTTTTCATTGTTAAAGGAATAAATAGCTCTTCACTTCCATATAGTCAAGAACACAAAGAGGCAGAAGCATGTGGAGCTACGCAGGAGGATTGGCTCTTCTCGAAGGCAGAGATTCATGGGTTTTGTTCCATAAAAAAGTAGCATCACAGCCAAACAGTTGAAGTCAAAAGCACAGCAGACCAAAATAATAAAGCAGGGAGGAGACCTTCAGTGAGTTACAGAGCAGACTTGGCGTTGTCTTCAGGATGGATTCATCAGTGGGTGGAACTGAAATGGCTTGAAACCAGCGAGGTCTTCTGAGGTTTCATAATATTCCTTAATGTCCTGAGGCACTAACCCTAACCCCTGACATTACAGTCAGGCTTAACAGAACCACTGTGTTTTTGTTTCCTGTCCCCAGGATACGAATTTCCGGCAGTACTGCGTTGGTTCGCGGAACGCGTGGATCGAATCATCCTGCTGTTCGATGCACATAAACTGGAGTTCTCCGATGAGCTCACCAGGGCCTTCGGAGCTCTGAATGGTTACGAGGACAAGTTACGTGTAGTTCTCAACAAAGCTGACAGAGTGGACTCGCAGCAGCTCATGAGAGTCTATGGCGCCCTCATGTGGTCACTGGGGAAAGTGTTTCGAACCCCTGAGATCCTACGGGTTTACATTGGGTCTTTCTGGTCAGAGCCGAGGCAGAAGTGTGACCACTACCAGCTGATAGAGAACGAGGAAGAGGATCTTCTATCTGACATAAGGAACCTGCCACGATATGCTGCGATACGCAAATTAAATGACCTGGTAAAGAGGGCCAGGTTAGTGAGGGTAAGAGGGAACAGCTTTTCTGTCGATAATCATGCGTTCATATTTAGTTCAGATATTCTGACATTTTTGTTCCTATTCCAGGCTCATGCCCACGTTATCAGCTATCTGAAGCGGGAAATGCCGACCATTTTTTGCAAAGAAAGCAAGAAGCACAATCTGATTTACCAGCTTCCAGTGATTTTCACCAAGATCCAACAACAGCATCGAGTTCCAGCTGGTGACTTCCCCGACTGCACCAAGATGCAGGTCAAACACAACTTTAAATTCACATTACCAATACCCAGAAAGTGAGCGGAGCTTTTACATAAACTGACAATTGACCACAGCCTCTCTCGATAAGTAATAATACTGTATCTTCAAACTGCTGACACTGTTGACCTACTTAATTAAACTACCGAGACACACTGACCTGCTTAACTAGATAACACCGGATTATTGGGTCACTGGATCGGTATATGTTGACTTTGAGTATTCAAATGAAGTATAGGAACTGGTACTGATTGGTATGTCTGATTTTAGAATATGTTCTAAAATCCTCTGTTTGTGTTTGACTTCATTAATCTCCAGGAAAAACTTCTGGGTCAAGACTTCTCAAAGTTCAAGACCCTGAAACCGAGTCTCATGGCGTCCTTGGATAAACTCCTGACCACAGACATAGAAAATCTGGTGCCACTACTTCAACAACACCAAGTGAGAAAGAAATCCCTGCCAGGTGTGTTGGACGGAGAACTGATGGGAACATTCAGGTCTGAGCCTCACAGGAGAGATCCATTCAGAGAACTCCCCCTAGAGGACGGGAGCAGCATCTCCACTGGCCACTTTGATGAGTGGGTGGTGGAGAAGTACAAGCCAAAATACGACGAGATTTTCTACAACCTCAGTCCAAATGAGGGCAAACTGAGCGGAACCAAAGTCAGAGCGTGGATGAGGAGCACACTGCTGCCCAACTCTGTGTTGGCTCAAATCTGGAGGCTGTCAGATGTGGATGGTGATGGCATGCTGGACGACGAGGAGTTTGCCTTAGCCGTGCACCTTATTGAGGGAAAAATGGAGGGTCACTGGCTGCCCCGTGAGTTGCCCTCTCACTTGGTGCCACCGTCAAAAAGGCAGAGTACGACCAGCAGCCAAGAGTAAAGAGAACATCGTACGGCAGAAGGACACGTATCATTACATTACGTGACTATGTATATAATTTTCTAATAATACACACATTATAAACACGTTCACTCACTTCCGCCCTATACTTTAATCCTTTATTTTTTAAAGTACATAACTTAAATTTTACTAATGTCCTGCATTAACAAAACTCTCTGTTTGTCTGTATATATTTATCCATACTCTTCATGAAGAATGAAATCAAAATTACAATCTGTAATTAGGTAAGGTGAGCATAAACCTCAATTTAATGCACCAAAAAAAAAGTTTGTTAGATTCGAACAATGTTGAAGAGTTTGGTGCCCAGCTGACTCTCTGACCATGTGACTAGTCTTTGGTTTTAGAACTGGATTATTGTGGGGTAATGTCAGTGTGACAATGGGTCTGAAGTATACTGCATAGTCAGGTGAAGTCGGGGGGGGGGGGGGGTACTCACGCAGGTGGCAGAAACGACCATAAAGTCCTGGAGAACAGAGACAGGCCCCGTACAGACGATGACAGTGGCCGTCGTTCGGACACTTACATCTTCTTCTACAGTGTCTCCCAAAATATCCCTTTGGGCAACCTGTGGCCAGAAGGTCAAAGGTCAAAAGAACAGCAGGAGCTTTGGTTGATACCAAGGAGTAGATTCAGCATTACAGTTAGACTAAAGGAAAGTGAAAGTGAAAGTGAACTACTTGTCATTGTGACACAGCAACCACTGCACCACTGCGCACAACCCATCACCACAGTCAGCAGGGGGCATTGTCTGGGGACGTGCCATGCTCAGAGCACCTCAGTGGTAACTTAGCAGTTGGTGGATTAGAACAAATGAAAACCACTTCCTTAACCACCAAGGCACCACTCCCCCCCCCAAAAAAAGATGATCAAGGATCATATAAATTATATTATCATAGTATCACAAAGACATAGAGGTGAGTGAAAGAAACACTGACCTCTAGTGTGGTAGTGATGAACTGTGTATGCGTGTGTGTGTGTGTAGCGGTATGCTAACCATCTTCGCAGCGTGGGCCCTGTACACCTGGGGGGCACGAACACGTCCCAGTCACAGGGTCACAGGAGCCTCCGTTGTGGCAGCGGCAAAGACTATTACAGGCCTG